AGTATTGTTTAACTTTCCCCTACAGATAGGTGCACCTTATTCGCTCCATCTATTGGTCTGTACATGGGTTTCTTGTCATTTCCTTCCTAGCCCTCGCTAAAATGGTACTTTTTGATGGAACCCAGCCCATCGTTCACATAGCCATGGCTTCCGATGGTAGCCTGCGTCTAGCCTCCGTCAGCTCTATGGGTGTGGTGAAATTGTGGGACATTTGGGACGACGGGAATATGTACGTTACCCTCACCTCCGATGACGAGGACTCGACCTCCTCCATTACCTCCATCAACGATTTGTCTGAGGTCAGTACGGATAAACGTCTAACCAATGAAATCAGCGTTGCTGCTTGGCATCCCTTTGCAGAGCACCTTTTCCTTGGAGACGTTAATGGCCGCGGACTGGTTTTGCAAGTGCGTACGAGTGCTCTTATGCTTGTTGAAAACCTTTCCGATCGTTTTTTTCTTAAACATGACTAAAATTTAAAAAAATTCGGTTTAAAAGTTACGTTTGACCACATTACCTAACGTTAGCTAAATTGGCAGTGCTTTAAGTTTTACTCGTTCGGTTGTTCAATCTGTTGAGACTTCCGTCTTTTGTAAGTATCACACAAATGTAACTCGGTGCCTAGACCTTCCCGATAATCGTGTGTTTTACTTAACTCATATGTCTCTTCTGCTCGGCAGTCATGAAACCAGTTGAGTCAAGTCCAGAGGAACGTCGTGCCTCTGTGGGGCAAAATGACATTCGGTAGATGTTTGCAGACATTGTTGCGTTTTTAATCATCGTTCGTATTTTGAATATTTGCTCACGATATAAGTGTGATCAGTATGTTCCGAAGTTGCCAATTTACTATTGAAAGAGAAATGTTCGGTGGTAGTAGGGAAAGCCGACTATTCTCTTAATCTTGTCATGATTAAGCGGATTAGTGATCCTAAAAAGCAAAGTATGTTCGGACATGCATAGGGACTACTTCTGAAACTCAGCCCTAACCCCCAATAAACAGTTGGCCAAACTAACCGGAATCTTCTGTATCTGCTATTATTTTTCATGCTTCCAGGTTTCAAAGCCCGATAAGCGCTAGGTCTGTCTCGGTCCTTTTTGGTCACGTGCTGTTTTCTCTACACATGGGCGCGTCTGTGTCACGTGACCAACCCACTAAATTTGACCGACCCTCAATTCGCCGACCACCGCCTAGCCCTTACATCGGGCATTCCTACTTCCAGTACAAAATTGTTCTGCTCTTTGCCATATGGTCGAGCATACGCTCAACGACAACTGTTTGACACGTCAATAAACGCGTCGTTTTCTGCTCAGTAGGAGGATTTTTGTCCCGAAAATTACTTTTTATCCTGTTGAAATTTCGACAAAAAGTTGACTGTTTTTGGCGTTCTTAGTCGATTCCCAGAAAAACCGATTTCTGTGTTAAGACGGTTCATGCAAGCATTAACTGTGCTCTTAGGCGATTATTTCCGTGAATGCCGGTTTGAGCTACACTTGCAAGCTTAAGAAAAGCAACTTTCGCAGATAACTATACCCTCTCCCTCTTTTATTCGTCTGACGCCTTGTATTCTCACCCGGATGAGGTTAATGCACGCACAATTGTTGTTTTTTTTGTTTCCAATAAAACAACTAAGCAAGTTTTTATGCGTGTAAAGGCTTCTTGTGTTGCATTCAAACCTGGTAGGTAATATTACATAAAGCCTGGTTTTTCTTCACTAATCACCGGGGTTTCGATCACACGATTTCATTGCCTGTATTTATAGAATATGACGTTTTTTCAAAGTCACCCATTTGTTCGTTGACAGTTTTTGCCGGTTACTCCCATAATATTTTAGTTCAATTGAAACACCCTCCATTGAACACCAGCTCTGCTCCTCTGTGCTTTTTGCCCAGCTGTGGTGCAGGAGATGAAAAAGAAGTGTA